GGTTTTCAATTAATAATCATTTGAAAATTTTAAAAAATAAAATCCCATAGGGTTCTATAGTAAAACCCTCTTTTCTTTTTGCCCCTCAAAGTACCCCTTTATAAACCCCATTGCAAAAACAAAACCCTGATTGCACCACTAGACATGTTAGTCTAACATATTGTGAAACCCTAAGTTAATCCGACAAGCGGTTTTGGAGAACGGGTGCGGACAAGTTCAAATTTAAAAGCGGCGGAAGAAGAAGAAGAAGAAGAATAATAATAATAATAAGAACTGAGCAAAAACAATAAGTCTTCCCAAACTTCGTTTGGGAGACTTAATAACAACCCTCTTCATGACCTTTTTCCCTGCAAAAACATTTACATCCCTTATTTCTCTGTACAGGCTCATATCCAGTTGAAATTAAACGAAAGAAAGGGAACTCTTTATTAGAGAAGGTAAAAAAGGCCAAGTTGGTATATTTGAATTGTTTACATCTGTTACTATGGGCTTAAAAGTTTAATTTAGGTGCATAATTTAGGATCTTATATAAGTCTTTTTACTTAAGTTATAGTATGTAGCTTCAAGATATTGGTAAACTTTTAAACTAATGACAAATTTTGACAAAACAGTCGACTGTTGTAGGTGCAAATACATGTGGATCATATATCATCAATATAAAGCAAAAATATTTGATACATTATCCCGCTTTAAGTTTTATTACTTTAATTTATTTAGGCTACAGGTTGATGTAATAACATTTAAAAATTCACAGAATAAAAAAATTAAATATATGGATCAAGTGAAAAACCTTTCTAATAACAACAGAGTAGGTGTGTTTGAATAACAAATTTTTACTAAAAGTACTTGACGACATACTTTTCATGTGGATCTTTTTTGTGCATAACTTCATGAAGTGTTATCTAGGGTAATAAGTCTTCATCGTCTCAACATTTTTAGTCTGCCCTTGCACGAAATATTTAATTAGAATTTTTTTTAGTGTTTTTAAACTTTTGAAAATTCCCCCTGAAAACTGATCAGACAACAATTTCAAGTTGTCTAAAGGCCTAAAAGTACATTAAATAATGCTTAATTAAGGAATGACAGTCATTACTTATAAATTAAATCCAATTTTTTAAACACAACAATTTTATTAAAACGTAAACGGTAACTAAATTCAACACAATAACGTCACATGACAGCCAAAGTAATTTACGACAGTTCAGTGACCGCTGCCATGATGGATGCTTCAATTTTGTCCGGAGAATTGAAATACACAATTATTGAATGCTGAGTTGGAAATAAATCCTGTGGACATGAAGTTGTTTGATGAGAGAGACATTGGCATTGTACGATTGTTAACTTGTGCATTCTCTGATGATGTTTGTAACGGAGATGGAACGGATCTAACAATTGGTGTGGCACTAGCACATTTTTCAGTTGTTGACACAGTAAGTACTGGTGCTGATGTAGATTTTGGTGCAGACACGTCATAGCCTGATGATATAGACGATAGACGATAGAGTTTCACTCAAGCTTTCCTTTTGAAATTTAGAACATCCACGGTTAAAGCTTCTGTCAGAGCTTTCATTTTTGTGCCAGCTCATATACATTATATGCCTCAGTTCAAAACCAGCATCATTCATACCATGAATGCCAGTTGCACAGAGACAATGGGCTGTGTACAGTTTAGAGCATCCAGCTTTCCTAGATATATCCCCCATAAATCAAGAGAACTGGTACTGCTTAACCGACTTCCGTGTGTACCATATATTTTGTTCATCTGGTGAGAGATTGGCATCTTTATCACAGTGATTAAAGAGTGATTCTGATATGGATCTGTTTTGTCAATCATAAGCTTTAGATCATTCACAGGACATTTCTCAGATTTTGTTCCATACATTCTTTTGTCAGCAGAAGCCTCAGAATTGCCAAGTTCACCTTGCTAATTTTTTTTACGTGTTTCATGTGAGAGTGTAACATATTTTCTGTAATTTTCATCTTTTTGGAATGTGAACGATGCAAGATCCAACTGCTGATGGAATTCTAGACCCATTGTGACAAAATGCATTGCCAAATTGTACCACACCCTATAGCGAAGAAGGACTGGGTTTGTAGCAAAATACAGGTAAGTACTAATTTTGTGGAGATCTGACTGCGAAATTACTTCCTTGTTTTTTGGTAGGTCTAGACAAACCACTTTCATGTTGTGCTTTAATTTCCCATCCAAAATGTCATTCAACATCCTGAATTCTTTGTTAGGACAATGTCGATATCCCTATTCAGATCTCTAAGAAATCTATTGATACCAGCCCTTATACATTTAAAAGAATTCTTGTGGTATTCATATGCCTGAGCTGATGCCATTTCTTGTTCCCTCTTTTCTGTGAATGGGGTAGCCTCTGCATAAAATCTGCCCAATATGTTGTTTAAATCACAAGAAGATACAGTAGCCAAGTCTAGTTGAGTTTCCTTGACTACACTGCTCCATTCTTTTAAAAATACAGAATAACATGTGAAAATTTATCAAAATAATAATTTTATCTTGAGAAAAAAGTTACAATTTGTAAGTAAATACTTTTCTTTCATTATTTTGTACATAAATTAGGCTGTTAGTTTTCTCATTTGAATTGTTTTACATTTGTCTTTTCGAGGATTTTTATACAAGACTGCGGTATCGGATTTGCTCATTGTAGAAGGCCGTACGATGACATGTAGTTGTTAATGTCTGTGTCATTTTGTCTCTTGTGGAGAGTTGTCTCATTGGCAATCATACCACACCTTCTTATATTTATATTAAAAAGAAAGTACATGTATATACATTGTACGTGTATGTGGAATTACAGATTCAGATAGCTCAAAGTAGAGCATTCATTTTAAAATTGAAAGGTTCCAGGTTCAAATCCTGGTCTGAATATTTGTCACACATATACAATCACAATGTACATGTATGCATCTTTTATATTTCATTTATGATTTATTTAGTTGAATATGTGTTTGATAATTATACAATATTCACACCTTGCAAGATTTTAACTGCCCATTTGGTATTTCTTTTTGTTGATTCTGCTTGTCTGCTGTCCTTTAAGGCTATATAATTTCTTCATCGGAGACTCTTTTGAACCTTTTTTGTGGTTTGGGATCTGGCTGTTGTACATGTGTTGTGACTGTTTCTGTATTAGGTAATATTTCTGCTGGTATTTCTATGGAAGACATTGGTGCAGGCACTTCTTCTAGTTCAATTTCGTTTTCAAACAAGGCTTGCAAAAATAGAAATGGATCGCCGAGATCAAAGTCTGGCACCTCTGTATCTCCCATGATTATATTATGGCAGACAAATAATGATTCACGTGAAAATTGCCGAAATTTGTAGCAATTTATTCTAAAAAATGTCAGTTAAATTATTTACATGGCAGAAATCATTTCAAACATATTTTTATTTACATTCATAGCAGCAAAAACTTTTTTGTTTACTTTTGTTCTAAATACCGATGGCCCGGTTAAGTAGTTTGACCTTTTAACCTGTTCATTGTTATTGTAATGAAGAAAGTAGTTCCGGCAATGTGGGCGTGTCTCCATAAAAGTTACGTCTATGAGCTGAGAGAAAAACAAAATCAACCAATCAAAATGCTCCAGTTTTGTCAAATTTATTTATTAGCTAGTAAATACATTTGTCGTTTAAAATACAACTGTCATATAAGGATCGTAATGATGCTTTATGGATAAATTTATCAGTTTTTAAGAGCTAAATTGACAGCGTGTCATTCCTACAATGACTTCCATTTTTACGATTGAAAAAATAAGGTGGCGTAATGGGGAGATAATTTTGACGAAGTAGAATCCTGACTGTGTATTTCCCTCTATCTTATACTTACCAAGGTAGATAACAACAGTTAAATGAGTTCATTTTCATAACAAAATGACAAAATAATAACTTATAAAACGTAACAAAAGCTTCATAAAACATATCATCTAATTCAAAATGAGGTTCTTAGAGTTATTTAATAACCCCTTTTTTATCACAAATTTCAGACAATTTCAATATTTGGGATTAAAGAAGTTGACCTCAAAATTAATATTGAGCTCTCTCACATTACTAGAGTCCATATGCCTATTGAAAAATTGACTGATTGACAAAAAGTCAAAAAGTACATGTATATATTTTCCCACTTCTTTATAATGAAGGGTATAATCAATGTTAATGATGGCTTCAATAATGCAAATAAATATCAACGTTTTTTATCATAGCTAACTAATGCTATCTTCTGCAAAAAATCATTTTGATCTATAGCTCATCGACAATAGACACCATCATAGTGAAACTTAACAAGATCTGAGTATATTTGTCAATAATACTTGCAACAAAAAGGGGCTATTGGTCAAAATAATTTACATGTTTACCTCTGGAATCAATCTGTTATGAATAGCCAGTTAAAAAGAGGGTCAGACATACAATAGGCTCCTAATAGCCTCAATATATCTTGTATTACTGATCATTTCTGCTGTTTATAGTTTCTATCTATCTATTAAAGATTTTGAAATTATACAAAAAACCTGGAAATAAGTCAAAATCATCATTTAAGGGCAGTAACTCTTAAAATGGAGTCATACAGGCTTTATGTAGAGCTTGTATTTCTAATATTTTTTTCTTTGAAACTTTACACTGATCTATTATACTTTTCAAGATAATAGGCAAAACCTACAATTTTTTTTTTTTTTTTAAATCAACAATTAAGGGCAATAACTCCTGTAAGGAGTCATTCAATGGTTTCAACCCTTATGTTCTTTTTTTCCCAATGGCTTCATGCTTGATTGGTAAGAAAAAAAATCACTATGCTAGATACTACAGGGTTTCATTCAGGTAAAGTTTGGTTGAAATTGGTCCAACAGTTTCAGAAGAGAAGATTTTTATTAAAGTTTACAAAAATGGACAATGACAGATGTCAAGTGATGGCAATAGCTCACACAGGGTCAGGTGAGCTTAAAAAGCATTTTTTGAAGCATAGGGATGAGTTGGGTACCTGTTTTCGATATGGTGTGATGATACCAATATCTTCTGGTTCCACTTTCACATCAGGATCATTGAGTAATCCCTGGAGATATCTGATTACTTGTACAGTTTCTACAGGATTAAACCAGGACGGACTGTTCCCTTCCCTCAGATCTTCTCCCTAAGAAAAAATACACTAGATTAAAGCAAAACTTTCAAAATCTTTTCCATAGAAAGAGGAAACACGATTATGCAGGAAAGAAAGGACATCCCACTACACCACCCCCAAAAAAGATTTTATCTGTCTGAAACACAAAATAGATTTAACTTTTATATATCTAGTGGATGTTAAGCCTTAAAACTCTTCGAACTGAACAGGTTTGTCTACACTCAGTAATTTCTGTTATATAGGAAAATAAATGGGGAATGTGTCCATGGGACACAGATGATGCCCCTGCTTGCATATAACGTTATAAAGGGCCATAACTCAAGAACTGTAAAAGTGACACTACCCAAATTTGAACTTGATCTGAGTTTTGTGGTAATAAGCATTGTTTATAAGTTTCATAACATTTAGTTGGCGTAAACTTAAATAAGAGAACAGAAACGAAAGATTCAGCAATTTTTCCATTTTTAAAGGGGCATAACTCTAGAACAGTAGAAGTGATGCCACCAAAATTCAATCTTTAACTGTGTTTTGTGGTAATTAGCATTGTGCATAAGTTTCATAACATTTGGTTGAGGCAAACTAAAGTTAGAGAACAGAAACAAATATTTCAGCAATTTTTCCATTTGTAAAGGGGCATAACTCTAGAAATGGTAAAAGTGACACCAACAAAATTCAATCTTGATCTGTGTATTGTGGTAATTAGCATTGTGCATAAGTTTCATAACATTTGGCTGAGGCAAACTAAAGTTACAGATCAAAAACTAATATTCAGCAATTTGTCCATTTGTAAAGGGGCATAACTCTAGAACAGTGAAAGTGACACCACCAAAATTCAAACTTTATCTGTGTTTTGTGGTTATAAACATTGTGGATAAGTTTCATAACATTTGGTTGAGGCAAACTCAAGTTAGAGAATGGAAACAAAAAAATCAGCATTTTTTTTCATTTGAAAAGGGGCATAACTCTAGAACGGTAAAAGTGATGCAACCAAAATTCAAACTTGATCTGTGTTTTGTGGTAATAAACATTGTGGATAAGTATCATAACATTTGGTTGAGGCAAACTAAAGTTAGAGAACGGAAACGAAAACTTCAGCAATTTTTCCTTTTGTAAAGGGGCATAACTCTCGAACGGTAAAAGTGATGCCACCAAAATTCAAACTCCATCTGTGCTTTGTGGTAATAAGCATTGTGTTTATAAAGGGGCATAACTCAAGAACCGTTATTGTGAAGGCACTCAATTTCAAACTTGATCTGTGTTTTGTGGTAATAAGCATTGCGTATAAGTTTCATAACATTTGGTTGAGGCAAACTAAAGTTAGAGAACGGAAACTTATTTTGGGAAGTACGGACGTACAGACGGACAAGGGTAAAACTTAATGCCCCCTCCGCTATGGCGGGGACATAAAAATGACACCTAATTTTAATTTTTGTAAATTCTCAGTAATGACATGTCATAAAAATATTTCATAATAACCATAAAACCATAAAACATAATTTTGTACACCAGACACAAGTTTTGTCTGTAAAAAGCTCATCAGTTAAAGGTTAAAGTTAAATGGCCAAATCAAGTACAAAGTTGAAGAGCATTGAGAACCCAAAATTCTGAATGGAATATAATAAAGTGACCTCATAATTTTAGTAAAGTTTTAGCTTAAACTGATGTAAAGGATTAAGTTTGGTTTAGATTACAGAAAGTTTAATGTAGTATATATATAAATCTTAAAGAGACAGCATTAGCTATGAAAGCTACTTACTCTTACTCCATGAAATATAACAGGGAAATGTTTTGTAGGCAACATGGACCAGTTACATAGTCTTTGGGTCAGTTGTTGGTCTGCCTTCACCAAGAGTTCTCCATGGTAAAATAGCTGAGATGGTAATCCTAGTATGGCTGGATGAGAGCGGTAGTTTGATACTAATTTTGTCACCTATAACAGAGTAAAAAATACCAGTTTTAGCCAAGCAATTTCATTAGCAGTTCTTCATAGGATATATGTGATGGCAGTCCTTTATTGTCAAATTGGAACAGATAGATGTCTACCAGTTTTGTTATCTATTAAGAGAGTGAGTGATATTAATGTTATTTGTCTTTCATAGATATAATCACCATTATGATTGTTCCCAGTCCTTTCTTTACTGGAAAAATTCTTAAATTAAGGACATGTTTGTGACATAAGTTGCTGAAAGGTATGGTTAGCCTGTTTTTTTCTGAACTTTTATAGGTTTTGACATGAATGGTATGCATTTAAACAAAAGAAAAGTTCAGACACTATGTAATATCTTAATTGCTTCCTGAGAGAACAAAACGTATTTAAGATTCTTAAATCTACAGTTAATTTTCTTTTTTTTTTCAACATTTCTACAAATGTCAGGTGCTTCTAGCTATTTTTGTAAATTGACTTCATTCCAAATAAAACTTTTTTTCTGACATTTACCTACCTGTATCATCATTATTTTTCAAAGTATTAGAAACACAAGAATCAAATGGAGACAGAAATTCCTGTTTATAGAACTAAATAATAGTAACTTTGTACATGGCAATTTTTTTTTTCTATCCTAAATTGGACAACCAGAAAGCAAAGAAGAGATAGATTTACCTGGGTACTAAGAATATCTACCTTGTAGGGTTGTTATACACATGATAAGCAAACACAGTCTTATCTTTGATACATTCTTTTGACATTAACAAATAATGTAATGCATTGTTATATTTATAATGATAAAACATTGCTTTTAAAGTGTGTATGCTTACTACCACTTCATTTTAACTCTGGTGCATAGTTGTCTCATTGGCAATCATACCACATCTCCTATTTTTTTTTAATTTCTATATGCTTACCAACAAAGGATCATAGCAGCCATGATCAGCAAACATTGCTTCATTCCTATCATATAATGATCTGCTCATCAACCTTTCTAGAAACGATAATTCTAGGCCATATTCTTTGGCATATTTTGATCTCAATACTGGTCCTAGCTGCATTGGATCACCTGCTAACACTATCTAAAATTAAAGAATCATGCAAACATTTAACAGAGCGGTTTCTTCATCATATAACAAATATTCTTTACATTTCAATACATCTATCGTTTATTTTGGAAACAATTTTCAAAATGACTTGGTAGATCTTAACTACAAGAACAGAACCTATTTATTTAAAGTTGAACATGTTGAAGTAAACAAGTATTATTTCACATTTTTCATGTCAGGGCATTTTATAGCCGACTATACAGTATGGATTTTCCTCCTTGTTGAAGACTGTAGGGTGGCCTATGATTGCTTACATCCACTTCATTTGAACTCTTGTGGATAGTTGCCTCATTGGCAATTACAACACATCTCCTTATTTGTATAACGAAAGATAAATGACATGTTTTACTATCTTCCTACCTGACCAGTTTCGTCACCAATTAAACATGCTGATATAAGACTCTCAGGTTCTGTAGCTTGTCCAGCCTGAAATAATGTAGAATAATTACAAATAATCAGAAGAATATAAAGCTACATTCTTGTGTTCATTCTAAACAATGAGATTTTCAAAAGAAAATTGCAAACTGAAATGCCTATAATATTTCAGAATATTAGTATAAATTTGCAAGAACATATATTAATTACTTACATTGTGCTGTTAAAATAGTTGTTTCTAACAATTAATAGCATATTACTTGAATTAATAGTATCCTTTGAATCATTTATGTAAATTACCCGACTCTGGCTTTTGGTTTTATTCTTTGAATTGTTTCACAATTTCTTGTTTCCTTATAGAACTATTTATACAAGAAAAGGAGAATTAATTTTGTCAATTATAAAATTAAATACCTCATCAATTATGACATGTGTAAAATGTCCTGCTTTGATCCCTAGAGAATACAACACACCAGCTGATACACATGTACACACAACTATCCTGTAGTGAGATGCAGTTTCAAGATCGTCACCAATTACGCAATATGGCTTCAGACACTCTAATATAACCTGAAAATTTTCACATATTTTTCTTTTATCTTTTTTTCATATTCAGTCTTTATTAAAACCAAAAAATTTTTGAATGAGTACCATAACTGATCACATGATAATATCAAAGTGCAGTGGAAACTTTAAAATTAAATATTGCATTATATTTTAAGCTTTAAAAGGCAATACAATGAATTGGAAATATTGTAGTAGGTTCAACTACAATATTTGCGGACAAAAGAAGATAACATCAATTTTAAATATTACTTTCAGAATGTAGGCTCATACCTCGTTAACGTAATTTTCTTGACGTTTTCTTATAGTTATACACATACACATCATTTTGGAACATGAATATCTGATTATATACTAAATTGATAGATATCTTGAAATGTTCATGAATAAGATGTATAGAATGTTGTGCTCAATGCATTATGGTTTTTTTTTCATCTTAAAAGAAGTGATAAAGTTTCGAAAATAGAAAACTATCAATCCAGGTCAATAAGGATTTTGATTGAATAAATGCAATCTTTACCCAAAAAAACAGAATCGAAGTACAAAAGTAATGCAATGACTTATGTTAACTTCGGTACTATTCAGCAAATTTCAGAAGTAATATCAAACAAATTACATAATAAAATAAATGGAGAAAGTTTCATGGGAAACAGATGATGCCCCAGCTTGCATATAATGTTATAAAGGGACATAACTCAAAACGGTCAAAAGTGACGCCACCCAAATTCGAAATTAATCTGAGTTTTGTGGTAATAAGCATTGTGTATAAGTTCCATAACATTTGGTTGAGGCAAACTTAAGTAAAAGAATTGATACAAAAAATTAGGCAATTTTTCCATTTGTAAAGGGGCATAACTCTAGAACGGTAAAAGTGACGCCACCCAAAATCAAACTTTATCTGTGTTCTGTGGTAATAAGCATTGTGTATAAGTTTCATAACATTTGGTTGAGGCAAACTAAAGTTAGACTTACTGACAGACAAGGGTAACACTTAGCGCCCCTCCGCTGTAACAGGGCATACCGGTACATATTCTGATTCATTTGACAGAATATTTTCTTGTTGAACAATGCAATTTTGACATTTGAATTTTTATGTTGAAAGAACTAGAGTTTACGTTATAAAAGTTATTGCACTATATAGAAAGTGGAACAGAGTTTGTTTTCTGCAAAAAAGAATTATACTGAAACCTGAATTACTTGCTGAATTAGAATTAACTTACATGCCAGGAGTCGGTTTCACAAAAAAACTTACGACTAAGATTGATTGTAAGTCATGAACAATTCAGTATACTTACGATCAATCCAAGTCGCAAGTTTTTTTGTGAAACCGACTCCAGCATTTTATGTTTATTTATTTTTACAACAGTCTCTAAAATAAACATATTTGAATTGAAATTTTTGACGCATGTAGAATAAAAATAACCCTCTGCCTCTTTCAGAATATTCTACAACTATGTTCTTTTAAGAAATTAAGGACACTTGTACATTATAAAGTGACAAACCTCTTGATTTCTTTGTCTGGCGTTCAATCTGACCATATCTGTTGTCTTTACTTGTCCACTCTTATGTATTCTCTCAGCCTAAAACAACAGATAATCTTATTTCCAACACAAAAATAGTAAAAATGATTAATAAAATTAACAAATGTTTACATTGTAATTGTAAAGTAGGCATATTCATAATCTTTATTTAAATTTCATTATGTATAAAAGTAACAATAATTAGTCAAAGACTTCCAATAACCATCATTCCTTGATTGATAATGAATTGATGGATGCCTTTGTCAAGCAGGAATTATTGCATGGATATTCAGGGTAAAAAGTGAGCTAAAGTCTTAGAAATATACACTGCTGAGTAATTCTTTATAAGGCTTGGGAAAAGGTTATAGTTAAAGCTAATTTTGTATTATTTTGGTTTCATGCAAGACCTACTGCTTGTTAAAGGGAGCACAGTACTACATTTTGTACCAAGGTATTTCAATCCTGCAAATGGCCTAATTACAATAAAGAAATGGAGCAGTCAAAACAAGCCTTAGAAAGAATTAAACACCATAAACTATTATCCAGGGATTCCAAAAATAATTATTTAAAATAACTATAAAATCTTTTTTACATGTAGAAAACTCTTAAACATGCATAAATCAAATGTAAATAAACAAATTATAATAATTTTGCTTTAAGACAGAACAACTACTGAAACAGTCCTAACTCACTATGAGGTCAGCTGCACTGTTCGATGGTGTACAAGCCAGAACTCGACTGGAAGGAATTTTTTGTAAAATCTGTAGAATACTCTCTACCACTGTTACTGTTTTGCCTGTGCCTATAGAAAGATATTACATACTTTTCACATCAGAAATATACATATCTGATATACAATGATACTACTGCCACCTTTTTCTAGCATTATAACATACTCAATGATATTAGGTTGAGCTAAATGAAAAGTTATCTGATGTCTGAATAAATTTGGTTTATTCTACAGTCGAACCTCGTTGTGTCGAAGTCGAAGGGACCGGACCAAAGTATTCGACTCATCCGAGGTTCGACTCATCCGAGGTCAAGTGTGTCGTCAAAATTTGGAATGCAAGAAATACGGTATGAAATTTGCGTAAACTAGATCATTGACTTTGAACAGTGTGCCTTTTTTTTCAATATGACACACATCATAATTGTGTATGCAATTGCCATTGTTGGTCCTTCATAATAATCAAACACACAAGAACAGATACAAATCATGCACAAATAAAATCAATAGTCTACACACATATTTATAAAGGTCAGTCACTATAAATTATGAAATCATTCGCGGAACGAAATAATTTCTGAACGGTCTCTGATGAGGGTGTCTGCTGTACATTAAATTATCATGAATTTATGATAATTGTCTTAATCCTTTATTTATTGTAATTAATGAGTTTTAATTCTAACGATTGATTTAATTTCGGCTAGTGTCATTTAAATTCGTTTTGTTTTTATCTCATGTGAAATATGTTCAACACTCTAAAGTTCTGCTTGAACAATCAACAAAGGTGTTAATTACCAGCAACCATAAACATGTCAATTTAACTGTTATACAAACAAGTATGTTTACTCAGCTTTAATCTCTTTTGAAAATGATTAGGTTACATAAGAAATACATCTGTTTTGAGTTTTTATCATTAGGTATGCATCTTTGGAAAATTCTTACTTTCAAACTTCGAGACATCGGGGTCAATTTACATTAATTTTATATTGATGGGACTATAAAATTTACTCGACATAACCGAGTATTCGAATCAACCGAGGACGACTCATCCGAGGTAATTATGCATTGATCAAACGGGAATTTTACTGGGACCGAGAAATTACTTCGAATCATCCGAGTTTTTGACACAACCGAGTTCGACACAACCAGGTTCGACTGTATTTTGCTTTTACTTCTAGAATCAGTAAAATGTAACTAAACGATGGTTCAATCCAGTAGTTAACCTAACAATAACTGAAGATGCTATCTTTGTCATTCTGATTTTAATGACTTTTCTAGAAATTTTTCTATACATCAGAATTTAGAATGTTAAATTTTGATTATTGTTCTAGATAAGGTATCTTCTAAATTATGTTAGTAAACTGAAGCAATACTCATTGGTTTTCAATCCATAACATGAGAAAGTATGCATAGTTTTCTTATATATATGGTATCTACAGTTTTTAATCCATATCCAAGTCATCATAAAATTTCTTTGTCTTCTGTAGCATGGAAATTCTAAGGCAATCTTTATGTAACAACTTTTTTCATTGGCTAAAATTTACTGTCAAATGCACAATTGACTTGTCTTGGCCGCCATTTTGAATTTCTAAAATTCACAAATGTTTGATTAATACAACTATGCAACATGGCTCTAAACACAAAATCACTTGCTGATTGAAGAAAGCAAGAAATCAATGGAACAATCTGACAGTGCTTCAAAAATGAATAAAATCTTGATAATCCTGGAAAGAATAGATGAGCTGCAACAGAAATTGGAGGATAAGCTCGCTTAGATAGATGAAATGAATGGTTCGGTTAGTCATTGTGCAACAAGATCACCGAAATTGAAACATCCCTATTGAATTTAGTAAAAGGAATTCACTAATTGAAAAAAGTGTGGAAGATATCGGAGGGTTGCTTGAAACTTACATTGAGAGGTGGACGGACAACAAAAAAGAAATTGAGAATATGAAGCGTAGAAACTTAGAACTTGAAAGGCAAATAGAAAATGACAACCTGAAAGAGCATATTAAACAAATGGAACATAGCCTTGTTGATTTAACGTGCAGGTCAATGAAGAACTTGAAAGGCAAATAGAAAATAACAACCTGAAAGAGCGTATTAAACAAATGGAACATAGCCTTCTTGATTTAAGGTGCAGGTCAATGAAAAACAATCTTATTTTCTCAAAATGAAAATTGTGAAGAAAAGCTTCGAAGCTTCGAAACTTTATGTACAACTAACTTGGAATAGAATTCCACGTAGAACTTGGAAATGTCCACAGATTTGGCAAGCCAGGACTCAATGGTGCAAAGCCTATTGTGGCAAAGTTTCTATACAGAAAAGATTTAGAAGAGGTGCTAAGAAATAGAAAAAGATTAAAAGGAAAGAGTTTTGGTGTAAATGAACAATTCCCTGAAGAGATAGAAAATCGGCGAAAAAAATTGTACCAGGTTCTTAAATAAATGTGGATAGTGTCCACATGTGGACACAGATGATGCCCCCGCTTGCATATCATATAGTTATAAAGGAACATAACTGAAGAACGGTAAAAGTGACGCTACCCAAATTTGAACTTGATCTGAGTTTTGTGGTAATAAGCATTGTGTGTAAGTCTCATAACATTTGATTTAGGCTAACTTAAGTAGAGAACAGAAACTAAAAATTCAGCAATTTTTCTATTTGTAAATACGCATAACTCTAGAACGGTTGTGTATAAGTTTTATAATATTTGGTTGAGACAAACTAAAGTTAGAGAACGGAAACGAAAAATTCAGCAATTTTTATGTTTATAAAGGGACATAACTCAAGAATGGTAAAAGTGTTGCCACCAAATTTCGTACTTAATCTGTATTATGTAGTAATAAGCATTGTGTATAAGTTTCATAACATTTGGTTGAGGCAAACTAAAGTTAGAAAACGGACACAAAAAATTATACTGAGTTTTGTGGTAAAAAGCATTATATATACATTTCATTACATTAATTGAAGACAAACTCAAGTTAGAGAACGGAAATGAAAAATTCAGCAATTTTTTCATTTGTAAATGGGCATAACTCTAGAACAGTAATCAAAGTGCTTGTAAGCACTGAATGGTAAAGATTGCTTTAATTTATCAGTAGGAAGTAAAATTGAATATTGCATTATATAAAGCACTGGTTGTATTTGATTCGACTACCATTATGCACAAAGAAAGATAACTCCAATTTTCAAAGAAGACTTTAAAATATTTTTATAAATGAAGGGTAAAAATTGCTTTAATTTATCAGTGGAAGGTAAAATTAAACATTGCATTGTATAAAGCATTGATTGAAGTTGATTCAACTATAATCATGGACAAAGAAAGATAACTCCAATTTTAAAATACTTCATATTAAGAAAAAAAAATGAAAAATTCAGCAATTTTTTCCATTTGTAAAGGGCATTACTCTAGAACAGTAAAAGTGACGGCACCAAAATTCAAACTTGATCTGTATATTGTGGTAATAAGCATTGTGTATAAGATTCATAACATTTGGTTGAGGAAAACTTATGTTTGAGAAAGGAAACGAAAAATTTAGTTTTTCCATTTGTAAAGGGGCATAACTCTAAAACAGTAAAAGTGACTCCACCAAAATTCAAACTTGATCTGTGTTTAGTGGTAATAAGCATTGTGTATAAGTTTGATAACATTTGGTTGAGGCAAACTAAAGTTAGAGAACGGAAACCCACTTTGGGACATACGTACAGACAGACAAGGGTAAAACTTAATGCCCTTCTCCGCTATGGAAGGGTGGGGGGGGGCATAAAAAGCTCAACAAGAAAGGAAGCAAGTTAAAATGATCCGAGACAATCTATTCATCAATGGTAAACAGTATCAAAATACAGGATCAGAACAGAATACAGTATCTGAGTACAGAGGTGCCCTGTTAAAAAACAGTCAACAGCAAATTAATAGAAGTCCTCCAATACAACCTAGACCTTTTCAACGAACGCGAACCAAGTCATCCGATACGAACAATGAAGAGAGTAGATATATGTAGGACGACGCCACTACAAGTAATAAGGTTTTTACTGAACTTTTAAACTATGAATCTGGGGGGTTAAAAGTGTCTTGTATAAATGTATGTGGCTTAAAATCTAAATTAACTATTCCTGAATTCATTGAAACTATTCAAAAATACGATATTCTAGTATGTATTGAATCAAAAATTGATGAATTTGGTATGCTATCTTTTCCCGATGGGTATCTTTCTTTTTCAAAATGTAGAAAAAAATTCAAGAAAAAATCTGGTGGCATCTCAGTCATTTATAGTAAATTAATGAGGAAAAAATACTTGATTTGTGTAATGAATTGGAATCCTTCAAAAAAGATGATCATGATATAAACGGAGTTATAACTAGTTTCACGAATTTTTACTTGCAGGCAGCTAAAGATTCTTTTGGAACTTTTGTTAATAAAAGTCCGATGAAAAAAGCTCATGGAGTCAAAAAGGGAAATAAACCATGGTTTGGTAAATCATGTAAATTGAAAAGAAAACAATTTCACTCGGCAAAATATAAATATAATAAACATAAAAGTATAAATAATACAAAGTCACTGAAAAGAGCAAGTAAGGAATATAAAAAAGAAATAAACAATTGTTTACAAAAATATCAGTTTAAGACAGAAAAGGAGCTTCGTAATATATCAAAAAATAACCCGAAAGAATTTTGGAAAGTTTTAAATAGATTTTCTCCGAAACAAAAAAGGGAAAGTTCAATTTCACTAGGTAGTAATGTATGACCATTTTAAGAAGCTTAATGAAAGTGAGGTAAATGAAGAAGACTGAGAGTTTCAATTACCTAACCTACTGTCTAATGAGTTTGATGAAATTTTAAATGGGCCTATTACCGAGGAAGAAATAATCAAAGTCATTTAGACTTTAAAAAATAATAAAGCTGCTGGATATGATGGGATAAGAAACGAGTATATTAAAAATTCTGTGTCTGTATGTTTACCTCTTTACGTCAAGTTGTTCAATTTCGTATTCAACACAGGGATTATACCCGAAATCTGGTCAATGGGAATAATTAATTCCATTTATAAGAATAAGGGAGATCTTAAAGATCCAGACTTCTACCGAGGCATAACACTGGTATCATGTTTAGGTAAAGTATTTACAGTTATACTAAATAATAGACTAGACAAGTTTGCACAAGAAATTAAATTACTTTCAAAATGCCAAGCAGGATTTAGGAAAGGTCACTCCACACTTGATAATATATTTAGTTTATATTGTTTGATTCAACTTTATTTACTCTCTGGAAAGCTTTTATTCTGTACATTTGTAGATTTCAAGAAAGCCTTTGATACTGTGTGGAGGGTAGGGCTGTGGCAAAAGCTTATTTCTAGTAACATAACAGGCAAAATATTTAATTCTATTTATAACCTCTTTTCTAATATCAAATCATGTATAAGACACAACTCATGTTGTTCAAATTTCTTTCGTGCGAAGTTGGAGTTAGACAAGGTAAAAACTTATCGCCCTTTCTGTTTGCTCTTTTCATTAATGATCTTGAAAGCTATTTTATTCAGCATAATATAACATATTTAGAAAAGGTAAATGAATACTGTCTAAGTGAACTTGGCATGTATATTAGAATTTTTGTATTATTATATGCTGATGATACAATACTACTGGCAGAATCAGCTGACGATTTACTAAGAATGTTAAATAAGTTTGATGAATACTGTGCTAACTGGAAACTAAATGTAAACATTGATAAGACAAAAGTAATGGTGTTTGAGAAGGCGAAGCGTCAAAGCAATCCGAGATTTATGTTAAGAGGCGAGGAGTTACAGCTCATGGACAGTTATAATAATCTGGGATTATTAATAAGATACAATTGTAATTTTAATCTATCAAAGAATAAACTGGTTGAACAGTCACAAAAAACACTGTACGCATTATACTACAAGTTTAGAAATGTAAACATTCCTTCAGATCTGCAGTTTCAACTATTTGATTGTATGGTCTCTCCAATTTTACTTTATAGCTCAGAAATATGGGGTCATGAGAATGTTGACATGATTGAAAAGGTGCACTTTAATTTCCTGAAGAGGGTCTTGAATGTAAGATCAACAACACCAAATTATATGGTCTATGGGGAAACTGGCAGTTTTCCGTTAATAATTAATATTTAAACTAAATTACTTTGCTTTTGGTCAAGGTTAGTGCAAAGCGGTAGTAGCAAATTATCTGGGATTTTGTATCAGTTTATGTATAACTTACATAATTCAGGTCAATACTCATTTAAATGGTTATCTTCTCTGAAACAAATATTAGATGATACAGGATTTTCCTTTGTCTGGAAACCACAGGGTGTTATCAAAAGTTCGGATATTAAAAAAGAAATAAAACAGAGATTAGTTGACCAATTCGGACAGCTTCTATTTGCTGATATGACAAACTCGTCAAGAGGTGTATTTTATGCGTCATACAAAACTATGTTTTGTTTAGAGCAATATTTATTCAATCTTAAAGTGGCAGATCGTTATATCTACAGTAGATTTAGATGTTCAAATATCAAAATCCCTATTGAAGTTGGTCGGTGGAAAAATACACATAAAGAGGATCATATATGCTGTCACTGCGATTCAAATACAATTGGTGACAAATATCATTATTTTTTTACATGTACCAATGAACAAATTATGTCATTAAGAGAAAGGTATGTACCTACATATTACACAAAAAGTCCTTCCCAATTAAAATTCATAGGTCTATTGTCACACTGTAATGTGCCAGTTCTAACAAAACTGTGCATGTTTTTGTGACAAGAAATTTTTCATAATTTATATCATGTTACAATATAAAATTTTATTCACATTGCAATTCAAAATATTGCAAAAAAATCAACCAAATATGGTATATTTCAATTCTACTGTATGATATCGCTAAATTATTTATTGTGTATCTTGCTTGCAAATGTATAATTATGTAATTGTAAATGTATAATTTTATCCTCTTGTAGCACCATATGTGTGCCTAAGTTGTAATAAATTGTCTTGTCTTGTCATAAAAAAATAAAACATATCCTACCTCAAAAAACACTGTTTCAATGAGATTAAATCCAAATCTGTATCGTAAAAGTAATGAAATGACCTTCAGTTTCAAAGTTTCATTTGTATGACGTCATTTGTTGCCATGATGTTTATGCGAAAAAAATCATTCATGAAGTTTCACAGAATTTTATTTTATCTTAAATTCATACATTTTTACAAGCTCAAATGAAGAATTTCTTTTTGCAATGCATTATTATAGGAATAAAAGTACTGTAGTTGCAGAGTTGCTGCCGTTAATTAGAATATGATGGTGGCAAATATCATGAACCATGGAAAATAGCCCGGTTTTTTGTGGTCAGTTTGGAGAAAAATTGAAATCCTGTGAGACTATAACTAAAGGAGTTCTTTATAGCATAACAGACTCTGGTTCATTTTACACTCAACAATCCAGTAACGTAGGTTAACTTACCAGGTGGACCAAATAATATACAAGGCACAGGTCTGCATTGTCCCTCTAATATCCTGGTGACAGCAGCTCTTTGTCTGATATTCAATGATTTATTGAAAAAATTTATTCTTTTCTGATGGCTTTTACTTGGACTAGAATTAAGTGGTGTCACTGTTGCACTCTGGGATAGTGACCCCAACTGTGACATCTTTGGTAATAGAACAGTTGGAAATAGTACTGAAAAAAACTGTAGGTGTTGACTTGGCTGAAAATTTCTAAAGTTGATGGTATTTTTAAGGAAATGAATATATACAATATAGTATGTGATATTTGTATGCATGAATAAAAGGAAATATTGAGTACATCTAGCATGAGTCACCAATCAAAATGATACAAAAAACAAAACACATCTCATCTAGACAAGTTATCCTCATTCCAAATTTCTTAATGTGAAACTCAAATATATTAAGTCCATCTAAGTAAGTTTTTTTTTTAAGAATTATTCACATCTTTGCCTTTCGGTTTTAAATGGATATGTCTTGTTGCAATCATACAACTTATCCTTATTTTTGTATAGAAACCAATGATTGTAAAACTCAGGAAACATTATGAAGTCACTTTCAAAACAAGTACTTTAAAATATCAGCTGCTCAGCACAATGGGAAGCTTTTCAGAAACATGGCTACAATTACTTGCCAAATTTACTCATAAAATATTATTTATAGGTACCATTTTCTCCTAACTGTACAGTAAACTCTGCAGACTGGTGACATCTTCTGACAGGTGCCCTACAATAAACAATAAATAACTGAATTCTAAACACTTTATATTGCTGTTGATTTTTTATATCTAAAAATATTCTGGTATTAGAGCTAATTTCCTAATGCTTGTAAATTAAGCCTTTGGTTGGCTTGCTTGCTTTGTTTGTATTAACTTTTGTCCAAGCATTGTAATTAAGATTGACATCTGCAAACAATATAAAATAGGCGGAGTTAAATCTGTATACATTATACTTAAATTTGATTGGATGTTATCCTAGAGGTTAGGAACACCCAATTGTACATGTAAACATTACAAGACTGTAGCAAGGTTTAACTCCGCCTAATCTATATTGTTTTCAGATGTCAATCTTAATTACAATGCTTGAGCAGACGTTTATACAAAGAAAGCAAGCAAGCCAACCAAAATCTTAATCTACAAGCATTAAGAAATTAGCTCTTATATGACTTATATCTTCATATACCAGGTAAACCACTGATTTTAAACCTCTTTAAACCTTAACATTCAATTTAAATTGTTTGTAAGTTGGTGTTTAACACCACTTTCAGCAACCTAGCTTATAACATGGTAGTCAGTTATATTTGGAGATGGAAGCCAGAGAAGCCAAGAGAACCACTGACCTTCAGAATTCAAATTAAATGTATTAAACACAACAACAAAATGGTCACATTTTTTCAAAAGTATACCCTTTCTTGTCCATTCAGAGACGATAAGAACCTGTTTCCTTGTGGTTCTAAAAATAAATCCTACCTATTAAATGTAAACATGACATTGTAATCCTTCCCTGTGTAGTAGTCTTGAAATGTTTTGTTGAACTTCATTAAAACTTCATCTTTCAGTAACTAAAATAACAAATTAGAATTCAATGATACAGGTCTGTTTTTGCCAGGAAATAAATAAACACAAAATACACACATAGTGTGAATTTCTTTTAGGGCAACTTCTGTACATTATACTATTTCTAAGGATGTGTAAGTCAAATAGACAAGATTGTACATTCATTAAACATTTTATTGAGTTAACTGTCATTTACTGGCTGTAAAACCTATGAAGAGGGTATATTTTAAACCAAAACTGCAATGTTTTGTTAAAGTACATAGATTCAGTATTTGATTCTGCAATCAGAAAAATTTGAAACACATTTTATTTTAGGGCCTTACTGGCTCAAAATTGCACCATCTCATCTTTGTTGAAGACTTTTAAAAAAGGGGGAATTGATTTTCATGTATACAATTGGCTTTGGTCTGTAAAAGTATCAATATGATTTTGTAAGGTTTCCATTTAGTCATTCCTGGAACCATAAGTTCTAACTCTTAAAACATATCCTCATAACATAAATCATCATGACCACTCAAATCAACCAATATGACAGTGTCACCAATTACGACAAAAGATCTTCCTTCCTAAAGGCTTGATACTTCTTAGTCCCCTAAATAGTCCTTACCTCATGAACACATCCCTCATAACATGGACCATCAGGATCAGCTGGGTCTGTCAGTATGACTCTGTCACCAATTAGGACTGAGGGTCTCCCCTCCGCTAGGCCTGGTACCTTCAGTCCCAAATATTCTCCTATTCTTCTCATGCAGACCTAGAAAAAAAGAAAGAAAAACTTTTAAGGTTTTGTAATTTAAAAGTGTTGGTCTGATATTCTTAATACTCCTTTTAAAATACTCAACAATAAAACATCAAAAAGTGTGTCCTATAAATGAGGGTAGGAATGGGGGTAGCCCACATGACGAATGACCGTAAAATACTTATTAAAATAACGTTAACAATAAACTATTTTACTCCATTTGATGCTAATGGTAGCTACAAAATGAGATCTGATGAATGATAATAAAATAAATGAGGAATGTGTCCATGGGACACAGATGTGCCCCCACTTGCATAAATCGTTATAAAAGGACATAACTCTAGAACGGTAAAAGTGGCACTACCCAAATGTGTACTTGATCTGAGTTTTGTAGTAATAAGCATTGTGTATAAGTTTCAGAAAATTTGGCTGAGGCAAACTTAAGTTAGCGAACAAAAACAAAAAATTCAGCATTTTTCTATTTGTAAAGGGGCATAACTCTAGAATGGTAAAAGTGACACTACCCAAATTCAAACTTGATCTGTGTTATGTGGTATAAGTATTGTGTATAAGTTTCATAACATTTGGTTGAGGCAAACTAAAGTTAGAGATCGGAAACGAAAAATTCAGCAATTTTTCCATTTTCCATTTGTAAAAGGGCATAACTCTAGAACGGTAAAAGTGACGCCACCCAAATTTAAACTTGATCTGTGCTGTGTGGTAATAAGCATTGTGTATAAGTTTCATAACATTTGGTTGAGGCAAACTAAATTAAGGGAACAGAAACGAAAAATTCTGCAATTTTTCCATTTGTAAAAGGCATAACTCTAGAACTGTAAAAGTGACACCACCAAAATTCAAACTTGATCTGTGTTTTGTGGTAATAAGCATTGTGTATAATTTTCATAACATTTGGTTGAGGCAAACTTAAGTTGGAGAACGGAAACCAATTTTGGGACGTACAGACGGACAAGGGTAAAACTTAATGCCCCCTCCACTACAGCAGGGGCATAAAAATTCAGGCTCATTTGTTAGCGAAAAACTGACGTTTGACGCTTGACAATAAAGGGCATTCCTTCCATCATAAATATAAATGTCTCTTTTTTATATAAGTTTACTAAAAGTATGGTAAAAATATTTTTTTTCTATCATGTTTCTAATAGTATTTTGTATGAAATGATTAAAAATCTTTCTTCAGAAAAAAAAAGGCCCATATATCATAAAACTCTACATAAAACTCAACAGTGCACACATTGTGCTCCATCAAATCCAGCATTTCGATTGATTGAATTCTGAGTTAGAGCATGATAATCATACTACAGATTATAATAACAGCTAGGCCTGAAGTCATTAAAAACCTTTTTGAATCATGTGTAGTCTGTCTAATACAACATCTCAGCTTTCTATCTTTGCAGGTTTTGAGAAAAGAAGAGGTAAAGGTCCTAGTCCATGCAATTAGAGAACAATGTAAGTCTAATTGGGAAAAGTGAAAATTACCTAAGAATCTTAAAGAAATATTCAGCTAAAAGCTTCTCTAAAAATGTTCAATATGACTTATGGCCAAATCACTGTATTTTTTTTTCTTTTATTAAGGGGGGAGTGGAGCAAAACACATCATATCCCTTGAAATGTATATCTAAATTACTTACTCTTTCCAAATCAAACTCTCTGATATCTATCTCCATCTGTATTTCTTCTAAGTGAATCAGTGTATCAAATTTCTGGGTATAGTTCTCAAATGTTACTTCCTAAACAAATCATGTATAATTACAAAAATGTTAGGATACTATTAAATCACCATGCTTACATTTAGACAAAACATGTCTAGTGAGCAACATTATAAGCCTGGTATCATTGATGAGTTGTGATATAACTTTCTCTTATTATAACAAACCGACACCATTAATCATTGGTAAGGTTGTACAAGGGTTAAAACAGCTTAGAAATTTTTTTGTTCAATGTATATGATGTGCAGTAGTTACAATCATTTTGAATGAAAAACTCTTATTGAGTAAGGAAGGGATCCTCAAGGAAATTTGGTCTTCTTAGTTATCAAAAACTGAAAGGAAATATATAAAACAGTTACTGTGTGAGTAATTGGACAAAAGATTTCAAAACTAGAATAATGAATCTACGTGTTTTAAATCAATTGCTTTCTTATTAGAGGCTAAAAGATGAAATAAGTAATACAAGATTGTCAGAATATTAACATGTACTAAAGTTTTATACAAATTATAAAAAAAAAGCAATCAAATGACAGAGCTTGTTCTATTTTTTCTTTTCCAATATTTCAAAAAAGCATCTGTGATTTTTAACTACATTGACAAATAACAGGTATTCTGAAATTTCAGCATTATGTTATAGATACTTTTCAATTATTCTGTAATAGTTGTATTCCAAAAATGTTTTTCCTGTATTTGTATTATATTAAGTCAGGCACATTTACCTCTGTTAGCACAGGATAAAGGTCTTCTATATAATCATTCTCCATAATACATTCTCTAAGAGGTGTAGGGACAGGGTACTGTTTCAGTTTGTTCGGTAAAAACTTCCTTTTTGCAAATTTGCTGGAAAAAAGTTTTGGAAAATAAAATCTTTAAATAAAAAAAACTTAACATAACACACACTATATGATTGCTGTTTTTCAAAGCTTTTACAATGTTGTTGATTCCACAAACAGTACTCCAAACATCAGGGGCAAAATGCCCCTCAATCACGTTTTTGGCAATTTCAAAATTCTTCTTTACAAATTACAATTGTTCAAAATTCTTCTTTTGAAATTACAATTATTCAAAATTCTTCTTTAGAAATTACAATTGTTCGAAATTCTTCTTTAGAAATTATAATTCTTTAGAAATTATAATTCTTCTTTAGAAATTACAATTGTTTAAAATTCTTCTTTAGAAATTTCATTTGTTCAAATTATCAAATTAAAATTAAACTGTAAATCTGGTAACAATCATATGTCAGCTTTTCTATTATTCCCATCCCCTAAAAAAAACAGTTTGATAATGTCAACACAACTATACCTATTACTACTTGGTCTTTCTCCTGATATTCTCCAAGTCTCAGCAGATCTTGAAGAAGTCTTGTACCTACTGAAAGCTTCACTCCTGGTACCAGTATAAGAACCAGTATGGTTTACCATAGACATATAAGGATCTATCACTTCTGCTGTTAGGTATCTTCCTATCTTAAAACCATTAAACACTATTACTAGTAGCTGTTTCTCATGTCCATGTGCTCTAATAACAAAAAAAGATACCATTTTGAAGTTGTTTTAATACACATGTACTTCAATTTGTCTATTTAATATTATCTAGTAGTTAAATAGGGGAGGGGAAGACAGATTTAAATTCATCAACATGATTATATGGCAATAAATTATAGTTTAATATTAAAGTACTCAAAAACTACTGTCATTATGACCTTAATATACATGTATCTTTGACACATTCCCCATTTCCATTCTCAATGTTATATACAATAATCTTTTTAAAGGTTATTCAATAAACTCATAAAACATTTTGTTTGCAATATCAAAATATAAAGGGGGCGGGGGTCCTCAGTGGCTGAGCGGTGTAGGTATTTTATCTACAGTGATCATAAGGCTGTAAACTCCAAAGCTGTGAGTTCAAACCCTGCTTATAGCAATCTTAACTGACAGGGATTGCCACTTTTCCTGCCAAAGGTCTGAGAATACTTTGACTACCTCTACCAATAAAAACTAGCCGCAATTATATACATGTCATTGAAAATTATGTTAAACAGAAACGAACAAACAAATCAAAATATAAAGACATTGGGAAAGATATTTCAGTAAATGTGGATTTCACAATAAAATGTAATACTACTATTTGCTAGTATATTTCAAGATGTATCCAATGGCAACTGGTGTATTGTTTTAGTGTAAACAATATTTTATTTAGAAACAGACAAATAAATACGTACATCAATACAATACATGGATTGGAAAACAAGTGACAAGTCACTTATACAATTTCCTCTCCTTTTGAACAGCAAAATTAATTACAATGGACAGAAAATGTACAATCATATAACATAATATCATAGAAAAAGAAATCAAATGTAATGGAAATTAACATATAATGCAGATAGCATTTTTTAATATTGGGCGACATGTTGTTGAGCCAACAAGAATTATTTTGTGAATCTCTTAGTTTTCAATATATAGTCTTGAACAATACGAAAGTTGTTTTTATTGTCTATATCTGTAATGTTCGGATCACCATAAAGTAACGTATCTATGTTAAGTGTACCAACTAGGTTATCAAAAAGGGCTTCACGAGTTCGATGATAAATGGGACAGTTTAGAAGGAAGTGTTCCGAGGTTTCTATCTGTTTACATTTACAAAATGGGTCTGATTCCAAATTTTTTTGATACAAGTGATCTCTAAGACTACTGTTCTCGGTACGGATTCGGGCATGATATATCTGACCTAGTCTACTGCCTGCATAATAATAATTTGGTATAGAATGATTTAACTTAAGAAAGGCTTTTAGTGGAGCGATAGAACCAGCATTTTTTATATCTGGGGGAAGGCTATTCCAAAGTCGAACTGTTGATGGAAGGAAACTATTCATATAATAAGTAGTTCGACAGGGTACTGATGGAAAATTATTTGCGTAACGAGTTCTGTACTGGTGTATGTTTCTAAACTGATCGGGTAGGATATCATTTAGATAACATGGGGTCTTTCCATTCACCATATTATGAAAAAGTAAAAGTTTATGCTTATCTCTTTGCTGTTGTAGAGTCTCCCATCCGCATTCTGCCAAAAGTAAGCGTAGACTGGTGAGTTTTGTTGCACCAGTAACGATGCGTGCAGCATCGTAATTTATATGTTCAAGCTTGGCTTTTAAGTATTCGGGACAGTTATCCCAGACAACATCAACATATTCAAGTAATGGGCGTACGCAGCTTAAATACATATTTTCAAGAGATCTTCTGTCAAGCCTAAATTTTAGGCGACACAGTAAGTTTAGTCGAGGTAATGTCTTTGATGCAATTTTTTCGATGTGATAATTCCATGTTCCATCACTCGAGAAAGTTAATCCTAATTGCTTATGAGTTTGAACTCTTTTTATTATGACGCCATTCATATTCAAAGGTGGATAGTTTATTGTTTTGACACCTAGCAAAGAATTCTGCTCAAACTGGAGTCAATGTTCATTTTGAATATTCAGAGAGGTGATATCTTTTGCTTTGTGTTAAAAGACTCACCAAACCATTAAGATGAAAAACAATAATAAAATGATGTTTCTTTGATTTAAATTTTATAAAGTGTGTGTAGAGATTTGTTTCATGAAAAATACAACTACCCCATCTTTTGAAAGGCAAAAGTTATTGTACGAAAAATTTCCATTCACTATGCTCTACTGAGAACATCTGATATTAATCCTTGTTTGTTTGGGCCAGCTTTATCTTTTATTTAGGGATATGTATTATTGGTATGTGTGCATGTTTTTATTTCAATTATAAATTAGCTATATCTTCTGTGTCTAAATAAAGTATAATATATTATTATGTCCAAGATATTTTGCAAATTAAAGATTACATATTTTTGAATTAAAAGATTTAAAAAAATCTCAAGACAAAGATTCCTTTTCTTATAAATGTTCAAAGTTAAAATTTGAACTCTTCATACAAAATGTTTTGATATTTCTCATCTGCAATGAGATTAAAGTACAAAATACATTTCCACACATACTATTACAATTAAGACACAGCAATCAATGGTCCATTAATTAGATCACCTCAATCACACCTTTGTCAATTAATTTGTTTCTTTGATGATTTAGTAAAACAAACAAAATATATAAACATGTAAAAAATTAACTATGCTTTTATAGTCTTTTGAATATGTTACTATTTCCATAAATAAAGATGAGACACAAGCCCACAAAGCCAAACAAAACAGAGACACAAGCTCTGAAAATCAAATGTTTGAGACCCCAAGCTCTGCTAAAAGCCATTCCCTGTAGGGTATAAACAGAGATTTCTCAACATCTTCTTTATAATGAAACAGGTTTCTCTCTCAGTCTGTGTTTACTACCATTTTTATAAGAAAGTATTCAGTACATCAAATAGATTTTTTTATTTTATAATGGAAAGAAGTGAGTCCACATTGGCTTTAGTAGATTTTGAACAAACAGAGTTTGATGGTAAGTCATAATAAAACTAATGCCATTAAATGGAAGTTTTTTATATAATAGAAATTCATTTTTTCTAACCATTAATTTAATGCTTAGTAAAAATGCATTTCTATTATATAAAAAAAAATTTTATTTAAGTTTTTTATTTTCTAATTTGGTAAAATCAAAACATTCTGTCAGGTTTTCTCAATCTCATATAGCTTAAAGTATTGTATTCCTATCAAGTATCTTTAATTTTTTTTTAGGAAATTATTATTTATAACAATACTGGTTTACAGTGTGTTAATAAAAAAAAAAAATATCTTATTAGTTTTTAACAGGGATTTATTAAGCAACCCTTCTAATGTTAAGAATGTATGATTGTAAAAGGTATGACAAATCATTTTTTTGAAAACTTTAACAAGTAGCTGTCTACTCTGAGAGCAAGAAACTGTTTCTAACAATTTACTGAAAGTTCAGAAGGACTGGACAACTATAGAACTAAATGCAAAAACAGTGCTTATATTGCTGTTCTGTAAGACGCTTTTGATAAAAACAGTCTCCAAATTTTGGTACATATGTTATTTGAATTTTGTCATGTTTGTACTTTGTCCTTTAAAAATGGTACTATAACCTCAAACTGAATATGTGTAATATATTTCTTAACAGCTATCTTGATTAACAGTAAATAGCATTAAGTTGCAAGAAAATTTTGATGTGTTTATTGTGTTTTTAATTTAAACTATGATAGTTGATGCCTTGGTGATTGTTTTAGATTTAAAATGATAAATAAAACAAAGTATAAATAAATATGATTATACTCAAAATTAAAAAAAAAATAGCTGCTAGCTTGGACTTATTCCTCTTTCATAGTTAACACCATCAAGTCTAATAGTTTCACATTTCTATATGGCTAATTTTATAATCTCTAAACAAGGTAAAATAGATAGTGAGCATTTTCTGTCATTCTGATTGGTACAATGTTTGTTTCTGTTACAGACTGCTCCTCTGGATATGGATCATCACAAGATTTGTCTGACTGCGAGGCTGTAACAGCTAATGACACCTTTAACATCACTGATAGGGAACATGTAAGACCCACATCCAGGCCAACAAATAGCCTTCTCAACACAAAGATGGGACATGTCACAACCTCAGACTCAATGAGTTTCAGGAACACACAGACCCTGACTGAGCATCTGAGAACAATCTCATATATACCACAACTATGTGATGTCATCTTTGAAGTTGGACCAGAAAAGGTTAAAATTCATGGTGTCAAGGCCATTCTTGGAACAAGAAGCAGGTAGGTTATAACATGGATAAGACCTACCCAATACTTTACATTATAAATAATAATACCTTCAATTTATAAGTGAGGGTCAAGAGGGGGTCCTTCATTTCTTCATCCTTTAACTTTTTATATCATTTTTCTCTATTCTTTTTTTTTTATTTTTCCCATTGTTCTCTATTCTTTATAATAAGCAACCCATTATTCTCTATTCTTTATTATTTTGCCATTTATTCTGCACATTTTGTCTTTTATTTTCTATTCTATAAACCCCATCCAGACCCTCATAAGTGTTTAACCTTACTGACAATTGGGAGTTTGATATAAAAAATAGTATGGGATATATGCCAATAAGTAAGCAACACAGGAAAAAGTTCAAAAAAACAGAAAATATTTGGACTTCAAATCATTTTAAGTCCATCTGATAAGCAGTCTGGAGACTTACTTAAATGAGTGATTTTTTAAATCACTGATTCAAGTAACATTATGTCCATAAAGGTTGGAAGTAAGAGTTGTCTTTCTTTAATAATCACCTATTTAAGTAGTACAAATTAATCACTAGACTAAGTGACTTAATTTTATTGTAGCTTTAAATATAGAATACTAATGATCCAGGGACTAATTATGTTGCTAAATTATCAGAACCAACATCTGTGTTGATAGGATGACCGGGTCATGTCAGGTGATGACCTTGTACTAAATCTAGGATAATGACATAAAAATCACTTGTTTAAGTATCATACCTCAATTTCCTTCCAAAAAATCACTTCTTTAAGTATCATTATTTTAATAATCCCCACTAATTTCAACACCCCCGAACAGTGAAATTTTGATAGCGAACAGTAGAATTAAATTACATAATCTATAAGATGAAACCTTAAATTTTACAGGAAAAATACTCCCACTGCTGGGAAAAATCTGTTAAGAAAGTAACAGTTCATTATGTAAAGCCATTTTTATAGCATTTTTTCAACTAAAATAGAATTTGCAGTCAAATGATTTCATCAAAGGCACAAACCTTGCTGCTTAAGGTGGTACCCAACACCTTGACTAATATTAATTTGGCTCGTCTAATTTTCATAAAATTTTGACAAAATGTTTACTTTGACCATTTGACAAAAATATAAAAATTTCAAAAAAATTGAACCAACCACTTTATCAGAAAAATTTCATTGGTTATATAACAGTTTGACAAACACTAATTTTGATCATTGAGAAGCTTAATATTTCCTTAACAATACAACGTAGTTAAAACATTTAGCTGATTTTTACAGAGTTATCTCCCTGTAGTGTTAGGTACCACCTTAAAAGAAGCAAAAAGTTATTTTTTTCCAATTTTACTAATGAAAAGATATTATCTAAACCTATGTGTTTAAAATTTTGGTAAAACTACAAAATCACAATTTGTGACAAAACTTTGAATTTGCTACTTAAATAAGTGATTTAAAAATCACTTATTTCAATAAGTCCCCTGACTGATAAGTTTTCACATACTGGACAACCAATAATACATTATAGTTACTGAACCGTATCAGAAATACAAAAAAAATATTTTATAAAGATCGATTCTTGTAAGACATCAAGAGTAGTACAGTTACTATATTAATTCTAATGGTGGAAAAAACAATGCATAACAGTTAGATCATAATGTCTCTTAAAAAGTAAAACAGACTTAACACAGATACTGGTAGCCACAAATTTCATACATTGGTTAAAAGAACATGATTATACTATTTCTTTCAGAGTACTGTACAACTTGATACTGAAGAAACAAAAAGAGGAAGAATTCAAAGGAAAAGCTCTTAAGAAGGACAAAAAGAAGAAAAAATCCAGTATTTTTCAAAATGATGTGCTAATCACAGTCCAGAAATACCATCCAGAAGATTTCAGGAAAATCATTGAGTTTATACACTGTGGATCTGTTGACATCAACTCCAGCTGTCTTGGAGGTAAATAATATTTTATTTCTACTACTTTTTACTTTTAATGTGTTTAATTTTACAGGGCATACATCTTACCAAAAGAAGGCAGTAGATTTTTTCAAAGTACAGGAATATTGTTACATTCATAAACCACTTTAAAGTAGTGATTCATTTTTTAGTATTCATGGTTTGTCAGCTTAAATAATTTTCAAATATAAATAATAAACTTCAACTTAAACATACTGGTTATTTATTGTAAGACTAATAACACCTTTATAATTTCAGGACTTTTATGTGGTGCATCGCAGTTTGGCCTTGGTGACCTTCAGGAAGCATGCTGGGATTTTATTAATTATTGTGTGAAAAATGGAACTATTCTTAGTTTGCTACCATCTGCCAAGAGATACTGTAACTTCAAACTTGGTCAAATTTTGATAGAAAAGGTAAGTTTCCTATCAATCGATTACTTCACATACAGAAAGGTTAAATTTGGTACTCCCTTCAGTAAATTTTATGATATATATAAATGCACATTTCTTTTCTATAATTTCCACATATCTTTTTAAAAATAAAATGACTTTCAAAACCTGTCTGATTCATTTACGGCATACTTAGTTAATGCAGTAGTAAACTTTCTTGTCAGTGGTTGTATTTTGTTTTCTCTCTATTCTAATGTTATTTGGTCAATATGCAATAGGCTGCATTTTTTTTCAAAGTCTTCATTAGTATTTTTCTCAGCCTTTTTAGATTTCGAAAATTAAGAGATTGACATATTGTAAAGACATCTGTTTACTTTTAAAGACCACATATTTACCTCCAAATGGCTTTTGGCATTTTTTTTTATTGTTGGATTATTAACTTATTGACATATATATATCAAGTATCTCTTTCAATATATATTTTTTTCAAAAGGCATTCATATAAATAATTACAAAGATGTTGGATTAATATCAATGAAGCAGTAGAGTGAAAAATCTTTCATTTTGTACAATTAGGAACATTTCTTGAACGCCAGTCATTTTTGTGATAAAAATCACTATGGTTTTATTTTCTAAAAGGTAATTGCTTGCACATGATTTTTGGGTACTTTGTGTACAAGCAAGTATATCATATAAAAATAAGAAGGTGTGGTATGATTGCCAATGTGACAACTCTCCACAAGAGACCAAATGACATAGAAATTAACAACTTTAGGTCTTCAACAATGAGTAAAATCCATACTGCAGTCAGCTATGATTGCCAATTGCCATGCATTTTCAGGGTGACTAAAAATTTATACCATCTTAATTCTTACTTAAACAAGTCTAAAGCAACAATTGTCTAACCAACAAACGTGTTACTTACAGCTTTATACCTCTTCTATTACAGATATTCCGCAGCGTCAGAAGAACAGTTACAGTATGATATGGAAGACTTAAGAAAATAGTGCTATTTGTTTCTGATATAAATGTTTAAAGTTGCTATCTACATGTGCTACCGATTTGTAAATACTAATCATTAAAACTGTATAACAATTCATGTGTCCTTATCTGTTTCTTACCTTGCCATGAAAGTTATATTAGCATATACAGACATGGCTGGAAAAATGGTCACAGATTTTTCCTTTATCGTTGAATTTCCAGATTTCATCATGGCTGAGTATTCTTGTAAAAATTTAACACTACCAACAGAAAACTGTGAAGTTTCTGACGGAATATGACATTTCTTCAAGATCTGAGGTGATGTCCCTTTGTTTTGTATCCATATTGTCAACTTCTTTTCATGTCCAAACTTGACATTTTTTATATCTGTCTCACCACTGATATAGATACCATGTTTATCTTTTGTTAGTTCTTCTACAAAGGATTTGCGTGTTGGACTTCGCAAAAATTTGGCACTTAAACTGAAAACAAATAAAAACATTCAGATTATTAATAATACTGAAACCCAGATAGTAACAAAATCTAAATCATAAAAAGGTCTTAAACACAGCAAATAAATTTAAAGTCGTCCTTAGTTATTCTGTATAGATTTGTGAATTTTTTTCAACTGAGTATTTGGCTTTGGTTTAAGATTTATGGTTGTTTTATTCCCAATATCATGAATATGTTTACATTTGAAGTAGCTATATATATAATTTGAGCTCGTCTCAGTATGACACAGTCAATCATACAATGTAAATACATGCACAAATTTCTGAATTTACAAGTCCTTTTCCTATTTTAAATACCCTGATATCATATCATCCCACAGCTTTTGTTGAATCTGATAGTTCAAGGAAGAATGTTTGGACTGACATGCAAATTGATGTGTCATAATAGCTTTATCAATATCTGTTTAATCCTACTACATGCTAATTAGACTTTCCCCAAAGTCTAGCGCTCTCTGTCATAAAACTTTACTCAGTGCTTTGAGTAAAAAGTTTGTGCTTGAAACACCAAATCCAGTATTTTGTTTGGTTGATTTCTAAGTCTGAGTACAATAATCGTGATAAAAAATTTTATGACCACAATGCCTGAAGTCAGGAGCCTAGTCAGTGGTTGTTGTTGTAACTTTTTTCTGTTTAGAAATTTTGTCTTATTTTGGTTATACTGTACTGTTGGACTGCTGTAACATTGACAGTTCCCACATATCTCTTTTAATTCACATATATGTCAAAATTTTCTTGATTTTTTTTTTAGTTTTCATCATACCTTTGAGAAAGGGGAACATTTAATGGCTTAATAGAAACGGCCCTCCAGTTACATTTGCCTTGTGCACTCTCAACAGCTTTAACAACAACTTTGTCCCATTTACGTGGTTTGTATCCATTTACACAGACTTCCGGGTAAAAAAATATTTCACTGTCAATATACCCATGATCCACTTGAAATGCTGTAATCTTTGATTCTTTCTCTATGCATCTCAATGGCTGAATATTTGCAATTTGCATCACACTCCCATCACTTGCATAATCTGCCTTGACATAATCACCAACATATGGTTTAAAATCATCAATAACTTGACACACTTCGAATCTAACATAATCATTAATTAACCCCTGCTCTCCATCAAACCTTGTTATTTTACCCACAATACCATCCTGTGCAGATGTTTCTGATTGGTCATTGTCAACTTCAAGGTCATTGGCACTTTCAAAGTCATTGTCATCCCATTTTTCTTGAACGATTGATACCTGATCTGTTGTCCAAACTCCACAACTATTCTGTTGCCTTGCTACAACATCAACTGGGTCACCAACCTGGACACTGATATTGTCGATTACTTTGTCAAATGAGAAATAAATCTCACCATCAATTAGGCCATGTTTTTCAAACACATGTGTGACCTTGCCACTTAAATTCTTGAAACAGTCAGAATTATGCTTTGGCAAGGTATGACCAGATGTTAGAGAACTTAATCCATTTACTGGAACTTCTTTCTTGTCCACATCTTCTTCATCATTTGAGTCCTCATCTTCTGGTTGGTATATAAAACTAACCAGTTTTGACAAGGCAGAAAACATTCTAATGAAACATCAATGCTGAAATAAAAATAGTAAATGTAAAGAATTTACAAATTGGAGAACATTTGAACAAAAACCTATTTGCAAAGCTCTGATTTGGATTGAGATTAAATATTTGACACAGCATAGGTTTCTAACACAGAATGAATTAAACTCCATTGAAATTGGACAAGAAATAAGCAATTCATACAAAGTATTAGAACTAGAGGCTCTCAAGAGCCTGTGTCGCTCACCTTGGTCTATATGCATATTCAACAAAGGACACTCTCCAACATTGTAGACGAGAATAGAATTAATGACAAAAATCTCTTTTTTTTTTGTATCTTATATTGCTGATCATTGAAGTCTGTTTAGTTTCTCTCTATCTTCATGATCTTATTTAGCTTTTGCTCCAAACACAAAAGAGGGTAAAAAACTCCTATAAAAAGTAACAGTCTACAAAATATATCAGCAAAATGTGACTTGTTAGTACATTTTAGGTCTTGTCTTGCTTATCATTTTTGATTATTTAAGTTTCTATCTATCTATTATAATTTTTATCATAAAAGGCAAAATGCCAAAAAAGTGGTAAAATCGTAATTAAAGGGCAAAAGCTCCAATAAGGAGTCGTCAGACAATTTCCGCCATTTGTCTTAATTGTAGATCTTGTCTTGCTGATCATTTTTGTATATTAAGTTTCTTTCTATCTATTATAAGTTTTTAGATATAAGACAAAAACGCAAGAAAAAACTGTACAAATCAGCATCAAAGGGCAATAACTCTAATAAGGAGTCAACTGATGATTTCAACCATAAGACTTATTTGTAGAACTTGTCCTTCTGATCATTTTTATGATTTAAAGTTTCTCTCTATCTTTTATAGTTTTCAAGATAATAGGCAAAAATCGAAAAAAAAGTGGTAAAATTTGTCATTTAAGGGCAATAACTCATAAAGGAAATGTTCTGATAGTTTTGACATATATGGATAATTGGTAGAGCTAAACATTCTGAACAATTTTACCCCTTTCAGATTTCCTCTCTATAACGGTTATCAGAATAATAGACAAAACTTGCATTTTACCCCATATGTTCTATTTTTTGCCATGTTGGCCATCTTTGTTGGCAGGCAGGGTCATCAGAAACATTTTTTAAACTAAATACCTTAATGATGATTGTGGCCAAGTTTGATTCTATTTGGCCCAGTAGTTTCAGAAGAGAAGATTTTTGTAAAAGAATACAAAAATTATGAAAAATTGTTAAAATTTGACTATAAAGGGCAATAACTCCTTACAGGGTAAATTGACCATTTTGGTCATGTTGACTTATTTGTAAATCTTACTTTGCTGTACATTATTGCTGTTTACATTTTATCTTTATCTATAATAATATTAAAGATAATAACCAAAAACTGCAAAATTTTCTTAAAATTACCAATTCAGGGGCAGCAACCCAACAACGGGTTGTCTGATTTGTCTGAAAATTTCAGGGCAGATAGACCTTGACCTGATAAACAAATTCACCCCCATGTCAAATTTGCTCTAAATGCTTTAGTTTCAGAGATATAAGACATTTTACCCCTATGTTCTATTTTTAGCCATCTTGGTTGGCAGGCCAGGTCGTATGACCCATTTTTTAAACTACATACCCCAATGCTGATTGTGGCCAAGTTTGGTTGCTTTTGGCTGAGTAGTTTCAGAGGAGAAGATTTTTGTAAAAGTTAATGGAAGACGGACACCAAACTATTGTTTTTGGCCCCTTTTTGCTAAATGGTTAGGGCCATAACCCCAATACTGTGGATTCATTATTATTCGTTGGATACCAATTTTCGTGGGTTTCGTGGGTACAGGTGAACCACAAATTCAAATGTTCAACGAATTACAAATGTTAATTTGGCTTTGTATGCAGAGATTGGCAAAACCACGAAATCAAATATCCACGAAAATGCAAGTGTTCCTCAATCCACGAAAATTGATACCCACGAAAATAAATGAATCCACAGTAATCAATCCCAACCTTCCTTTTTTGGTATGGAACCTTGTGGTCAAATCCATAGAGATCCAAAAACTTATACTCAAGTTATTGCAAAGAAATTAAAAAATCCTTGTTTTTTTGGCCCCTTTTTGGTCTCCTAATTCATAAACAGTTTGGGCCATAACCCCAAAAATTAATCCAAACCTTCCTTTTGAGGTATGAAACCTTGTGGTACAATTCATAGAGATCCATACACTTCTACTTAAGTTATTGCCTGGAAACCAAATGTTTATGGAAAATAAAAATTTATTGAAATAAAAACAAATTTCCATTTAATGTTATTTCTCTCCTTAAATAGCAAATGACGAGTACAGCAGGATATGGGAGCTTGGTGTAAAATAAGTTTAAAATGTTGCTATGCGAATAAATTCCTGGAGTACCAACTTCAATTTTTTTTACTGGCTGTATACCTCTCTGGAACATGCCAATTAATCATATATGTATGCAGCTAGATCAGAGGAGTTCAGGGAAAATATCCCATTGTAAACACTGAATGTGAATAGATCGAGAAGACCTCAAATACATGAACAGAAATGGAGACAACCTATTTTTAAAATGTATAAACAAAATAGTAATACTCTTGTAACAGGTAATATACTTTATAAAAATATTTATCTTTAATTTTTTAACCTGCACAGACACAACTTTTAAATTGTTATATTCATGAAAAGACATTATTTCTATATTGAATAGCAGACTGGTTTACTCAAACACTGAGATGTGAAAAATAGGTTTATTTTGGGAAATTGTAATATTCTAAGGACTATGTGGAACACTCCCAAAATATTGACATGAAAGATCTTTAGATTTGGTATGTACATGATTTTTTTTCAAATCTTTTTTTGATATGCAGCAAAGATTAACATTTTTAAGGTCTTAGTTTCACAAGCTTCTTATGCAATTATCTCAATAAATATAAAACCCCATGTATTTGCATGTATATTTCTAATAACAAAGTTTAACAAACAATTTCTTTAAAATGCAAGATTGTTGTTTAGAAATAACTTTTGATCAGTATTGTCACCGGCATTGTTTTACTATTGATTTTCTGGACTTTTTCATAAGAGGGAATTTTCTATTGTTCTTGGTCATCAGTTTGCCAGTGCTTTTAACTGAAAAATGTTCTAACGAGAAATGATGCCACTAGTGGAGCAGGAACAACTTACCCTATTTGGCGAGGTTTTATTTTCTCATATTTAGTTTAAATACTGTATAGTAATTTTGTGAACTGTTGAACTGTTTGCAAGCAAGCCAATTAGAGTCAATTTCCTAATGCATGCAGAGTAAGAGTTTGGTTGGCTTGCTTGCCTTGCTTACTTGCTTTAAAATAAAATTGAGAATAGAAATGGGGAATGTGTCAAAGAGACAACAACCTGACAAAAGAGCAGAAAACAGCCGTAGGCCACCAATGGGTCTTCAATACAGCGAGAAAATCCCGCACCTGGAGGCGGGCTTCAGCTGGCCTCTAAACAAAAATGTGTACTAGTTCAGTGAAAATGGACGTCATATTAAACTCCAAAATATATAAATGAACTCAAATTAAAAATTTTACAAGACTAATAAAGGCCAGAGGCTCCTGACTTGGGCCAGGCGCAAAAATGTGGCGGGGTTAAACATGTTTTGTGAGATCTCAACCCTCCCCATATACCTCTAGCCAATGTAGAAAAAACAAACACACAGCAATACACAGAGTAAAACTCAGTTTAAAAGAAATTTGAGTCTGATGTCAGAATAGGTAACAAAAGAAACTAAACAAAATGACAATGATACACAAATTAACAAAGGACTACAAGCAGTTACTGACATGCCAGCTCCAGACCTCAATTAAACTGATTGAAAGATTATGTCATCATATTCAATGTTCTTTTTCCTTATACTTGTATTATCTATATGCCCCTTGTGGGCCCTTAATTGGTAATAAAATATATCTTATCTATACATTGTTTGTATTAATGTATGCAGACTTCGTCCCCTTTCACAGGTGGTCCAAGGACACAGTTATCGTCCTTAGGTTTTCGTTGTCTACGAATATAGTCCCTAGTGTGAACAGTGTACAACTTGCATTTTTTTTTATACACTTTTCCAATTTATTTCTTGATATTATTTGCATGAAATAGCCTATTTAGTAAGGGAATGAAATTATACATGTTAAAAAAATTTGGGTGCTGAATCTTTATGTTAAGTAGTGATTTGGTCCAGTTAAAAAAGGTCAAAAATTAGAATGTCTGAAGCTGTCAAACTGAATTTAAGCCCCCCTTAACACAGAATTGTCAATATTTTGAGTTAGAGCTGGTAGAAGTTTAATTTGAATTTATTGTCTAAAAGAAATGCAATACGAAATTACTGTGTTCTCGGGCCAGGTAACGCCTGCCTCAAATTAAGATTGACATCTGCAAACAATATAAGTAGGCGGGGTCAAACCTGTATATACTGCTGATGCTGCTACTTTCGAGCTTATAAAACAAGCAACTGCAATCTACTACACCAGAACGACAGGAGAAAATATCCTAATCCAAGAAGAGAAAGATAAATCAAACAACATAATTGTACAACAGCAGCAATGATTATAGTTATACTGTTAATTTCTATAATACCAAGAGCAAGATACTGGTAAACGGAAAAGACCAAAACTGCTTTGTCGATGTGGACCTTATAGAAATAAGACAGATAGCACAAAATGCTAAATGTGGAAATTCCAAGGTCAACTTACCCCCCCAAATAACCTCATGAGAGAACGACTGGAACAGTCAGTTGGAGCCAAAACCACACTAGCCACTTGTGATAGAAACATAAACCCTGGCATTGAATGCATAAAATGCAAAAAGAATTGTAGAACGTGTGGCGCTTATTGTACAACAGGAAAGCACTGGGTCCATTACAAATGCCAAAAGATGACATCCCAGGAAACAGTGGATATAGAATTAGAGGAGGAGAAAGATGACAACTATACATGCAAGTTATGCAACGAAAATAGAGCTATTGAGGGAGAAGCAAACAATACTTTAAACC